GATAGCAGCGCTCATCATATGTCAATCAAATCAACTTTGGCCCCGAAGTTGATTTGATTGACAGCCCGCGGGCTCAAAGTTGATTTGTTTGATTTGATTGATACCCTTTTCAATTCCGTGAGTGGAGACCCCTACCCGAAGTCATCCCCCTCGTGTACACCAACACTCAGCTTAATATACATACATACATACATACATACCAACACTCAGCTACCCACCCAACTACCTAACCTTACTCCGCCCTGCCTGACCCAGTTCTTGAGGCATTGAACATGTTCCAATGTATCTGCGCCCATCGAGAGCCTCTGAGAAGTCAACGTCAGCTTCGCTAGGCTGAATTGTCTCTCACAATCGCTCGCCATCGCTGGAATAGCAAAGACATCCAGGGCAAAGCTGCTCAGTGAAGGAAACGAAGCCCTGTGGTCTCTCCACCATTGGATAGCATCCTGCGTATCCTGCGGCTCGAGACCGAGGTACCTTTCGAGCTCGCCGACACTGCCACCCGTCGCAAACGCTTTCTTTGTCTTGCTATTAATCCACTGAGTGTACTGATCATCCTCTTGACCCATCGTCCTTGGCGCTGCGTCGTACTTTCTTGTTTCCTCGCACAGTCCCTGGTTCGCGTCGTACCAACGGGTGAAGTAATCCTTGATTCCAGCCTTGGCATCACGAACCCAAGCGAGTTGCTCCTCAGACACCCAAGTCGCCTCTAACCAGCTGATCCCGAACCTCGGGTGAAGAATGATTGCTGCCGCAAACAAGGGAGATTCTCCGAGCTTGTCATAATACTCATTCAGCTTCTTCCACCCGTTGTTGATTGATGCCCGGATGTAGGCTCGATGGTCCGCTGGTAATGTGCTCTTCTGCGACGTCTCGGACGCTGATCCTTTCTCCGCCGTAGAATAATCAGCCCGAGAATGCAACGGTAAGGCAGATTCTACGAATCTCGGAGGTTGACTCTGCTGTGGTAGCGCGTAAACCTCATCCTCCTCAAAGCGGGCAGGAAGACGGCGAACGCGGCTTGGCCGACCGTTTGACTCTCGGAAATTTGCTGACGCCGTTGCAATCCGCTCCGCAGCATCCACTTGAGTTTCTCCCATCGTCGCCTCCGTAACCTCACTATAGAAGACCTTCCAGTCCTCAAAATGCTCCAACAGATATTCCATTCCTATCAGCACCTCCCACAGGCGTCCATGGCTGTCACCTTTACCCCAGCCTTGCGTCCGCATCGTCTGAAGGTATATGGGTTTGAGAATCTCGTTGACTTCGCCAAGAACCCGCCAGTCTTCGCTGGACAATATGTCCTCCGCCGGGATCCATCTTGCCCCATCTTCCTCTTCTTGAGTTGCAAAGATAAATGCTCTGATATCTGTCTGCTTTCGCAAAGCCCTCTCAACCATCATGTAAGTGGAGTTCCACCGCGTTTCGTTGTTCATGACAACCTCGAGCTCGGCCGTGGATTCCTCGCAGAGCCGGTATTCCTCGTGATCCTGCTCCCGGGCAACTCGCTTGAACTGTTCGCTCCGCTGCGGCGATGAACGGATAAATTTGACAATGTTGCGGAGCTTCCCAATGGGCCCCTTCGTGCGCCAATGATCCAGGTCCTGCTCAACAAGACCGCGCATGCCGTTGATGTCAGACTCCAGCTCGAATGACTCGGCATCTTTGCCAAAGAGAAAGGCACGCGCGACGAGATTGAGCGTGTGCCCATAGCATCGCATCCGGCGGGCTTTGATATCACCAGGTCTCATCGATGCATCGAGCCGCTGGTACATATAGTACAGGCAAGTATCATTTGCCGTCATGTTGTCAGAGATGGCACAGCCAACGCGCCCCTCAATCTCCCATTCGTGGACGATGTCGATCAGAGAACCGGCGAGGTTCTCGCCACTATGAGCACCAAATTGACGACGCAGAGCCAGCAGACGGGATTGCTGATGACCCAGTTGATCTATAAAGTGCGCAAATACAGCCATGATTGCAAAGCGATTCGGTGACGTCCAGAGGTCGAAGCTAATGTGCACCGCTGTCAAAGCGTTGCGGAGCTCTGCTTTGATGGTATCCCGCTTCGCTTCAAAGAGTCGATGTATTTCTCTAGTGACAGAACTACCACTCCACGCCATCTGGAGTACTAAATCACTGTCGAAGTGGTTGAAGATCTTCCGAAGAGAGCTGTGCTCGAAGATGGTGAATGGCACATCGCTATCAATGACGAAGCCGACGCTTAGTTCTTGGATGGCTTTTATTTTCGCCCTTGGTATGGCGCTCTGTTCAAGCCGGCGCCTTTTCGGTGTTGCACCAGAATAAATATCAATGACACCTTCATCACCAGGACTTGACTCGCTAGACTGGCTGGCTGGGGTGATCCGGTGAGCTCTACGCAGGTCTGTCAGCTGCTGGATATCTTGTCAATGAGATTGAACGGGATAAGCACAGACTTTCGAAGATGATCCGCTGCGGAAGACGTGGCTTGCACCGAGAAGAACTCCGCTGCGCCTCTCGTATCACATCGATTGCAGCACCAGACGTGACCTATCGGTAGATCCTGATAGTTCAGTTCGACAAGGAAGGTCCCGTGCGACCTAATCCAGCTCTTCCTGCCCTTTGCACCTTTTCGAGCTAACAAATCCTCCTGGACGAAGCGACGGTTCTTCCAGGTAATCTTGGGCAAATCCTCAATTGTCGGGTTAGGAGGTAAAGCTCCAACGGCTGCTTCTTCCAACTGCTTGGCGACCGTTTTAGGCTGAGACAATCGTGAGAAGACGGAAGAAGGAGGTGTAGGGCAAGGTGTCAATGTTGTTGGCGGAAAGCCAGCTGGCGACAGGGAGAGTGGCGAGTTCGACATCCTACTGGTGAAATGGAATAAAAACCACGTGTAGAAGGGATTGTTTTGATGGCGCGACATGGCTGGAAAACGCGTTCCAGATTGCATACGCGCGGTGGGGTCATGCGTTAGATCACGATAGCAGATACTTAGCTTTGCCGCTAATCCCCCCGCTATTAGAAAGTAAACCTCTATCTGTAACTATCTCGTGTAGGGTAGTGGTCCAGGAAGGTCTGAATTTTTGCCTCGATATTAGACGATCGCATGATGCCATTTGTAATATATCAATTATTTCAACTTTCGGAATGCATGAATTGATTTGATTGAAAGGAAGAGTTCACCAATTTGATTGATTTGATTGGGGTGATTGATTGATTGAGTTGACATATGATGAGCGCTGAGTGGGCGATTGCAGCTTAAGTTTTTAACTCCAGACCTAATATGTTAGTTGAACTTCGCTCTGAAATGTAATTACCTGATCCAGAGATTATCAAAGACCAAGTTTTATTATTTTTGTATTAATATTGCTGTCGCGGCATATCATGGTGTATTGCGATAAAGTGACTCGCGATCAAGCGATACATTTCCTATTATAGAATAGTATAAGCTACTTCCTTAGTAAAGCGTTACGTTTCCTAACATGGCTAGCGCTCCAAGCTTTGGTAAGGTCAGTCGTCTCATTGGGAGCCCATAGGGTCACGCCTAGGCGTGCGAATATGTCACCCTCAATTTGGCCCAAACTCCACTGTCGGAGTTTTCATTGTTGCCTGCTGTCCGTCCCACATGTCTCACTACCCCGCTACGTCGGGCTCTTGATGAAAGGAAGTGACTGTCAGAATTCAAGGTTTGTATGGTACAATCGGATGGCTGCAAGCCTCAGCGTCGGTCGGGTAGTCGCGGTCTGTTTCAAACTATGATTACATGGTCAATCAATGACAACGAATAACCAACCAGCGCACGGACAAACAGTGTGTAATTTGTTAAATTTTAAGCAGTCCTTGGTACAGTAGGGATGTAGGCGAAAACTGTTAGATACACACGAATACGATGGGGTGAGTGTATCCAAGTGGAGCAGAATGTTGTGATGTTATTGATCGTCGACTTGATTCTTTGATCAGTCTGTCAAAGAGGGGTTTCACCCCTCTTTTGGATACAAGAAGTGGAGCCCATTCCCAGCCGCCAATCTAACAGTAGGCCAGCCCAGGTTACTAAGTCAGATAAGATTGTTGTCGTGACAACAACCTGGAAGACAGTAAACAATATGATGATATTTAACCAACACCAAAAAAATTCGTAAGCTAGCATTCCCCGACAGGAGCACAACAATTTATCATTCCACGCAAAGCAATGTCGCTCGACCAGCGGATACAACGGTGGCTCCGACAACTTGAGCCCGCATCTACATCTGCTCATCACGACAAACAATCTTGCGCAAAGCGCCGTCGATTGAATCCCCCGACTCCAGACCCGTCGCAGAGCGAGCACAGCATGGCCTCCCGCGGACGAAGTCGCAGATCAACGAAGCGCAGCGTGACGGATACTCAGGCCTGTTATGACGATGAAGATGATAACTTCGAAACGCCTCGCCCTCGGAAACTCAAGGCTCCAAGGAGCGAATCTGGAACCTCTTTTGCCTCGTCATCTGCAGCCTCATCAAAGTCCGGCTACTCATCGCCAACAAAGCAATTACGTGACCTGGAATTTCACCCGAGAGGAGTCGAGCCTAGAGAACTGAAAGACTATCACAACAAGCCAGCTAGCTTGGAAGATCTCCTCCTGCAGATTGACAGAAGTTCATCTGGTTATGCGATCCTCCCAACATCTCAGCGCCAAACAATCGATCAACTCGACACAACGATATACAAGACCTTCGAGTGGACCAAGGACTCGTTCACCAGCAACTTTTGCTTCTCAGACGAGCGCGATAAACTGGGCCATACGCCCTCGCCTGACACAGTTCAGACCATTCTTCAAGAGGCAGGTGCTTGCAACAGCAAAGGATGTTCAGAGGCAGATTGGAACATGGAAGTTCATCATCTTGTCTTGAAAGCTGCCTTGCGGCCGTTGCAAGGTCCTCGGATGGAGCAATTCTTCGACTTTCGACTCAGGTGAGTGTCTTTTCTTCAACTACATGTTCAGTTACTGACCGTCTCAGCACAACTGCTTCCATCATCCCCGATTACCAAGCGACTTCAGCGTCTAAGAAAGTTGATTTCTGCATGTATATCGATCCCAATCACGAAGAAGCGGATGCTGTCTCCGAAACCGTCCATGCGCTGAGAAGCTTTTTGCCTCTGGGCATGTTCAACCACACGAACCACGCTTTTCTGAGCGATAGGCCGATTGCTGTTAGCATCGAAACGAAGAAGACAGGCGAAGGATGGGAGAACGCGAGATTACAGATGGAAGTTTGGATGGCAGCCCATTGGCAATTCCTTCGAAAACTACTTGGGCTACGACGACTGGCAGCAAAACAAGTCACTTCAATGAAGAACGCAACTGAGAGCCTGACGCTAGATCCAGAAGAGGTATGGAAATTACCAGAGTTTCTCCCCGGTATTATTATCCAAGGTCATGATTGGCATCTCATCATCACGACGCCGGACGGAGAAAAGATCGCGTTTTGGGAGAAGGAGCTCTTTGGACATACGTCGAAGTCGAAGGGAATTTATACGATTATCTTTAATTTGCAGTTATTGCGGAAGTGGGCGCTAGAGGATTATTGGAAATGGATGAGGGAATTGTTACTTGGGTGGCCGCAGCATAATGGGAAACTGGTTGTTGTTGATGGATGATGCTTTGGACGAGTAAGCCAGGCTTTCTATCCATACGCGTATGGATTAATTAATCCATATGGAATATTCCATACGCGTTAATCCATATTCCATACGGGGATGTCGTATTCCATAAGTATGGCAATACGGCGGAAAAAATTTGATCCCTGTAGTAATCCCGTTCAGGGGCGATTTTCCAACTCTCCACTCTTTCTTTAATTCCAACATCACTGTGTAGGGACGCTGCGTATGTCCTCGCTGATGACGTCCACTTCCACTGACCCTGCGGGGATTCCAGTGTCCACAAGCGAATTATGCTCTTCCTCAATCTTCAGCACGAACCCTCGATTCTCAAGCGGCGATGTGCATGCTGCAAAGCAACTGGCAAAACGAGAAGAAACTCTGAGACATGTCATCAATCACAAAGCAGCGTTGGAGGCACTTATTCAGCTCGTGACTGTCCGTAATCTCTCTTACAACTGCAGTTCTTGGCCAGAGCTTCATGCGCTCATTTCTGCAGTCAATCCTGCGGCAGATGACCTCATCAGCCTTTCTCACGGCTCCATACAGAAGCTTGTCTCCAATTCCTTTCGTGTACACAAAGACATGTTGCGAAGAAAATTGCAGTCTACACCATGGAAACTTCATCTCTCTGCTGACGTGTGGTCTGCTCCAAATCACAAAGCTTTCCTTGGGATATGCGTCAAATTTGTAGATCCGGATACAAAGGAAGCGCTGCAGGCACTATTAGCTTTGTCGGAGTTGCCAGGTCTTGACGGGCCGGGTAGTCACGGTGGTGCCGAACAATGGAAGCTTCTTCAGCACGTGCTCGAGGATTATAATATCTGGAATAAGGTGGGATTCTACACTGGTGATAACCATGGATCAAACGACTATCGATGGAATGAATTCAAGAAGCGCGCTGGAAGATCGCTGGGGCTCGACAACGATACACGGTGGAACTCATGGTTTCTCCTGCTGGACACCACTCTCAATCTTCAGAGCTATGTTGAGTGGTACCAGAAGAAGTATTACCAAGATTTGCGAGATGACTACCTCACGCCTGATGAGTGGAGTGCTCTAGGGGAGACGCGCGCATTCCTTCAACCGTTCTGGAAGATCACTCAGCTTACAGAGGGTCGTTACGCCACTCTAGACCGTTCACTTTTTACAATGGATGTTCTTCACAAACATTATACTCAAGCATTCCAGAAACACTCTGGCAACGCCACACTACGGAGCTGCGTTGCAGCTTCTTGGGCTGTATTCGATAAGTATTATCAGCTTACAGATGAGAGCCCTGCGTACGGTGCGGCGATAATACTTCATCCGTCACGACGTGTAGCCCATATAAAGAAGAACTGGCCAAAGTCCTGGCATAAACCAGTTCTTGACGGCGTGCGAAAACATTGGAAAGACTACCACCACGAGCTCCCGCTCCCCACCACGACACCACAGCTGAGAGACGAAATACGGCGCCTTGATGAGTATGACCTACTCGCTCGGGAGCTTGACGTTGTTAGCCCATCTATGAGTGAGCTGGACGAGTACGATGCTTTCACGACGCAACCGCCCATTATCATTGACTGCTCTCCACTTTCTTGGTGGCTCAGAGAAGAACAACAACAGACATACCCTCGTCTCTCTCGAATGGCTGTTGATATCCTCTCGATACCAGCCATGTCTGCCGAGCCGGAGCGCGTCTTCTCCGGGGCGAGACGCACAATTTCATGGGACCGGTGCCAATTGGGTAGTCGTACAATTGAAAGAGG